CTTAAGTGACTTCTCTTCCCGAGTCCCTTAAAATTCTTCTGCATTGTGTTGATATTAATATTGCAATCTGGTCAAAGATTCAGATCATGCTTTCTTTTGAAAYATAGGATTCATTGTTGTAGCATTGTATATCTTGAAACATACTTCCTAAYATCAAGCTATTTGTAAACCAGGCTGGAATGTTATCTTAGGCAAGCCAGTGTACAGCTCCTACACACAGCAACAGCCTACTTTTGTTTTTAATACTCACTGTGCTATTGTTTTTAAAGCTCTGGATTTTGGCCTGAAATCCAGGCCACCCRGAACTTAACAGCAAAACTTTCACCGAGTTCAGTCTGATCTGGATTTCAACCTCAGTGYCTAACGTTGCTAATGTTGGATGTGGTAAATTTGATCATCCAGTTTTTTTATGGCTACAACAGATGTTCCTTCTTTTAGACCAATGGAAAGCCACTGAACCTCATCCACCCTCCAAAGCAAAAATACAAGCATTTGTTTACAGCCTGATTCCAGGAATATGAATTGAATTAGCAGCTGTGAGGTTTGTTCTTGTTTATTTACGAACAAATATATGCACAACTCTTGCYTTTCCCAAAGAACCACAATGTTGCCTGGATTATATTTCCTCTATATAGTAACGTTATTTTAAACAATTATATCCATTATATTTTATTTAGCACAATCAAAATATCATCATAGTATTTTCTACCTTTTTTTTTTTTAATGGACCAATATTTTCCATCTGTCTTAGAAAATAACATGTTATGGTTATATGTTTTTCATTTTCTAGACTTACAATTTATATTGACTATAATACAATGTTCTTGCAATCATGACCCAAGGCACAACCTATAGAAAATGTAGGTATTGAATATAAATGTTTTCTTCCTCTTTAAGACAGTCAATGAATTTTCAAATGTTTCAGTTTTAAAATTTTGAAAGACTAGTGCCTCCTCCTGAATTAGAAGAAAAAACATGATATTGTAATAATATAATATAAGGAGGAAGAAAATTAGTGCTGATTTGATAGGTACCATCCCATCTCTGGGGTAAATATCCAATGGTTCTTGCACACAAACAACAAACACTGACAAGGAGACAGAATAGGAACAAGAATAGGAGTGCAAAGACTCTTTATTAAAGGAATGGAATCCTCATTTACATGCATCTGTTGCTTATGAATAAAAACAGTTTACACATTTTCTTTTTCCTTTCCTGAATTGGTCTGATTTCAGGAGTCACAGCACTGTTTTTATTGTGACAGATTAAAAATTCTTGTGGCCTTGCCTAGTCTTCAGCTTATGTGAAGTTATACCTTTGCTTTGCTCACAACCAAGCCCCCTACTCTGCTTTAATGTGTTTATTTTTAGTTCTGTGGGCTGTCCTGGACAGTGATGCTCCCAGCAGCTGTGTCAGGGTAGGATTTATCAGAGTGGCTGAGCTGGTGAGCAGCTCACTGCTTCCACACAGGTAGTCTCACTAGAGCTTCCTTGTCCTGGCCCTTTGTGGATCTTTGCCCAATTTAACTCACTAAACCAACAGGAAATTACCCAGCTTTTTGAATAACTTATTTTTGTGCCATTTAAGTGAATTGCATCAGCTCAGGTAAAGGTCCAACAAATACCAAAGGCAGCCTAGCAAGTGGCATGAACTCTTGGCTGGATGWGGGAAAATCATGGTAGAACTGTGAACTTTTGGAAGCAGAAACCTATTGTGTGTCTTGCAAAACTGTTTCCAGCTGGAAAATATCCATTTTTCTTTTCTAARCTGATTTTTAATGACTGAACTAGCTCATTGAAGAAAACGTGGTTGCTGGACCCACACAAGAGAGGCAGCAGCAGGAACACATTCCAGGAGGTRTGGAGGGAAGCTCTCCCGGTCTGCAAGTCCCTCTCAAGGAATCACACTTGTAGGATGCGCACAGAGTGTGTAAATAATCTGGGATTGTGAAGCAGAACATACCAAAATAACATACCCATTGTTATATTAACTATGTTASCATCAATTATGATACATTTTACTAGCTTTCAAATATGCAAATGAGAACTCTCAAGCTGGTGATTAGCTGTAGTGCTTAAATTTATAAAATTTTTGGCTATCTTACTGCTGCATGCTTTATAATCCTCACAACAGACAGAGAAGAGTCCAAGTATGTCCTAGAGGTTAATTTCAAGCAATTGAGACAGTGGTCACATTAGTAATTCAACCCTCTGATTATCTCAGATGTCTCAGTTGGAAAAGAAAACCGCAAGCTGTGAGTAGACAATATAATCCCTAAAAGTAATTTAGCCACTCCCTATGAGTGGTAAATTTTCCTGGATGAACCAGAGCTAACTCTGTCCCACTTTCAGATGCTGGCATTCCTGTGCGCTCTCTACTCCTTCTTCAGCCCTCCAAACAAGAAGCTGGTTTGTTTGGAGGCAGCTGCCACAGTGTAATTTGCTCCGTGGCCAAGCTTCACCATTGCTGTTAGCTGTGGCTCTGAGGTTTGGCATCCCCAGCTGTAATGCCACGCTGTGATCGGGTATTTAAAGCTACCGAGGGTCCAGGGTCAATCTGGGCAGCTTCAACAGGACCCTGTGTTTTTACTGAAGAAATAAAAAACTATGCAGTGAACAGGAGTGCCTCAACAATCATGCATTTAGGAAGAAAAAACACATGAGGGTTTTTTCCCCCTTCTCACTAAAACTTAAAATGGGAGACAGCTCTTTCCACGAGTGCAAAAGCGAATGAGTTTGATAGATGCCTAGAGTGATTGTTTCCAAAGAATGCTGTCCTGGCACAATCCTCAGGAACATCCTGCCTGCTCCAAAGGGCTTCCAGCCCTCAAAATCTCTTGGCAAACTGATCTGAATTATGTGACCCTTTGYTGAGTATGTGCCCCCTCAGCTGTTGACAATACGTACTGCATATGTCCATAAGGATAGTTCAGCATRTATCCACAATTCAAAGTTCAGCACTATCTGTAGTTCATAAAGTTCACAGTATCTGTAATTCAAAGTACGTTCAGCATGTTTTGGGTGGATGGCTTTATTCCACTTGGAAGAATTTGGGGGTGGAGGGAGAGAACCGACCACAATCATGATACTTGTTATTGTAAGTTACAGAGTAAAAATAGCTCATGACAAACATAAGGCATGGGAGCCTGAGCTCTTCTTGGAGTGACCMAGAGTTCTGTAGCGTTTGGGTATCACTAGGAAAAGGACCTCTCCCATCTTCAGTGGAGAGGGCAAACCTGCAGTTCAGCACACCAAAGCATCTCTCAGGGTGACAGAAAAGTTGTGGRAAAACAATACAATGGATAAATGAACAAAAAGGAAAATTCTGGTAATTAAATGAGTAAAGAAAAAAAGTCACCYAGAATCCGGCATTTTGTTCCTGTTGGCTTCAATTTTTGTCAGGAATGGTTTGGTTCAACAGGGAGGCTCCTTGCTACATGGCTTATCTCTAATAACTCCCAGTCACCTGCATCTCACAGGCCTGCACTTCAGAAATCCCAGAGAAATGTAACGATGAAACCCAAATCCAGTCAGACAGGGCTCCTGATTGGGAAAAAAAAAATGAAGGTGATGTCAAAGAAGACGGTGTCTCCAAGCCCAGGAGAACCATGGCAGACCTTGCACTTCAGTGCAATCTCTGGGTGCTGTGATGGTAACAAATGTWTGTAACAAGGCAGGTGTTCCATTAGTATKTTGTCCCAAAATAGGTTCTTTCACCCAGGGTGCAAGAGGCCAATCCACCCACACAGTCAGGTATTTGAYTGATTYACAGTTCWGCACAGAAAGGGGTGCYGGGTGGCAAATCGACTATCAAAACATTTCACTATTTATACATTTTTMGCAAAGTCATTAATGTTCYTTGGCTACAAGTTACATAGTYCTCATATTASTAAGCACTCTRTCTTTTATTGRWWAKYGAGTCCCTCTCTTCTTGTATTAATTAGTCCACATACTCAGTCTTTCACTTCTTTTCAGTCAGCAGGCTGGGAATTGGTGGTCACAATCTCCCTCTGCCAGAATTACCTTTCACCCWGTTGGAGCTGATTCCAGCACAGTGACTGAGCTGGCCTTGATAGTTTCTTCCTTATTGTGGGAGTTCTGCCAAATGCCCTTGTGGCCTGCAAAATTCTGCATTCTTTGCTCCACTATCAGTGGGACATCCTTCTTCCCAAGCTTTTTTAACACCACCCCCACCACCATCAGGTTTGAGATCACTGAAGCACACCATTCCCTAAAGTTTAACAAGGCACTTCTACTGACAAGTCATTTATCTTTCTAATATTTTATGCTGGTTTTGGCTGGGGCACAGTTATTTTTCTTCAGTGGCTGGTACAGGGCTACGTTTTGGATTCGTGCTGAACACAGGGTTGACGATATAGAGATGGTTTTGTTATTACTGAGCAGAGCTTACACACAGCCAAGGCCTTTTCTGATTTTTGTACTGTCACACCGGGGAGGAGACTGAGGATGCCTGGAAGGTTGACAGGAGACACAGATGGGACAAGTGCCCCAAACTGAACAAAGTGATATTCCATACCATGGAATGCTTGGTATGTAAAGTGGGGGAAGAAGGACGAAAAAGGGGGGGAAACATTTGGAGTGATGGCATTTGTCTTCCCAAGTCACCGTTGTGTGTGATGGGGCACTGCTCTCCTGGGGATGGATGAACACCCACCTGCTATGGGAAGCAGTGAATTCATTCCTTGCTTTGCTTTGCTTGTGTACACGGCTCTCGCTTTCCCAGTGAAACTATCTTTATCTCAGCCCCTGAACTTTCCACCTATCACCGTTCCGATTCCCTCGGCGATGCTGCTGTGGGGGAATGAACGAGCGGCGCCCGACAGCGCGGCCGGCACGGGCTACGGGCGGGCCCGCCAAACTCCGCGGCCGCGCCGGGCACGCTGGGGCGGGGAGTTCTGACTAAGGGCAGTCTGTGGGTCGGACCGGCATTACGAACTACATTTCCCAGCATGCCCCGCGGAGTGGCAGGGGCGATAAAAGGCAGCGGCAGCGCAGGTGTCACGCCGGAGGGCAGGTGCTGGTGGCCGGTTTGGGTCGGTCGGGGACCGGTGCTCCCGAGGCCTCATGAAACCGCAAGAGCCAGCGGAGAGCGGCCCCGCCACCGCCGCCGCKCTGGAGGCGCTGAAGCAGCGGGCGTGCGAGAGCGTGGATCTGAACGCGGCGCGTCTGGGCGCGCTGAGCCGCGACATCTGGAGCCGTCCCGAGCTGGCATATGCGGAGCACCAGGCGCACGACGCCCTGACCCGCTTTTTCTCCAGCGGGGACCTGCCCGGCGCCGCCTGGGCCGTGCAGCCGCGCTACAAGCTGGGCACRGCCTTCCGCGCCGACTGGGGCACGGCGGCCCCGCAGGAGCCGCTCCGCATCGCCTTCCTCTGCGAGTACGACGCGCTGCCCGGGCTCGGGCACGCCTGCGGGCACAACCTCATCGCCGAGGTGGGAGCCGCCGCCGCGCTGGCGCTGAAGGCCGCCCTGGAGAGCCTGGCGGAGCCCGTGGCCGTGCAGGTGGGAGCCGTGCCGGGGGAGCCGTGGTGAGCTCTCCCTAGCAGCCTCTGACTCTCTCTGTGCGTTTGTGCTGCAGATCACTGTGCTGGGGACGCCCGCGGAAGAGCAGGGAGGAGGCAAAATAGACCTGATCAAGGCTGGAGCGTTCGATGGCCTGGATGTGGTTTTCATGGCGCACCCCTCGCAAGAAAATGCTGCTTACCTGCCCGACGTGGCCGAGCATGAGTGAGTGGATGGGTTCAGGTGGAGAGAGGTGGTTTGTTATTAGGCTTTTGTCCCCTTCTTGAGAAGGGGACCTGCTTTGGCAGTGGCTGAACCCGGGACCTTGCACGTACCCGTCAGACAACGGTATTTACAGTCAGATAAGGAGCCAGGTTACTGTTAGGAAAKGGCACTCTGAGCCATTCTTCTAAAGTGCTGTGTTCAGCCTAGTGCTCAATTCCCTGAGTGCTCTGAGATAATCTTCCATGTGTCCCAAAAATCCATTTTTTGTTCTTAGGTTTCTAGGCATGTCTGTTAAACTTGCATGTGGTTATGCCATCTGTTGAAGTAGAATTTTAAAATGCAACTGCAGGGTCTCAAGGGTCATAGTTCCCCGCTTTCCTGGATGCCAGTCTTGTGATCCTGTATGCATTTTAATCAGTTTGGAAAGTGTTTCAGGTTTGCCTTCCCGCTTTTGAAAAGAACTGGCCAACTAAACCTGACTGAAGCTTGGATCTGTAGTAACTTCCACACTAAATTTAGTCATGGCCATGTTGTGTGCAAATCGACTTTTTTCTTTTTTCTTTTTTTTGATCCAAAGTAGTTTGTGTATTCATGTTTGCCCCCAGTGTAAGTATGGACAACAGTCCTATCTTCATACAGCTGCCTTTCTTGAAAATGATACTTTGTCGTCTTCTGTTCAGAGACAGCACTGGCTCCCTTGTACTTGGAATCGCTTTATTTGTCTTAAAGTACACCTTGCTGATGTGCAGCCCAGAATTGTACACAGTACATGAAGTGCAATTTCCTTAGGTATTACTAAGCTGATGCAGAGACTGTAGTGTTTCCTTACAGTTTTGGATACAGCTGGCATGTTTGGAATTTCCTCTTCAGTCATTTTCAAGCAACCTGCTCTTAGGCAAATGCTTAAGTGTATGATTTTTTAAAATACTTTTGAGCTTGATTCTTTTCTTGCTCTGCCAAGTCTGCAAGGCTATTGTTCCTTTGGTTTTATAAATGGCTGTTTCCATAATGTCCCAGCAGTAGAATGCCATCAGGTTTTGTTGCTGTTTTATGTCACTGTTGCTAGTGATTCCTGATCCCAGGGTCTTACCTTGCAGAGACCCGACTAGTCAACTTCCTCCAGTGCAAGAGCGTTTTCAGGTATTACATTTGGCTGTCTCAGATTAAATTCTGTGCTACTTCAATAATTAATTTTCCAATCATTTATGCCTTGATGTGCTGAGAACGGTTTTCAGCATGGTTGTGCTACCGTCCAGCTYTGATGTGCTTGATTTTACTGACCACTTTGCTTTTACCAGGGCTGTTTCCAGTGGATAATTTGTTTCTGTTACTGCAAGGTTTCGTGGTGAAGCAGATAGGGTAGTCTTCATTACCTGGCCCATTCTCAGCCATATTCCTTTATTGTGTTTCTAAAGAGTCTTAACTGGTTACTGTAATCTCCTTCAAGGTTTAGCCCAACTTGGCTTTGCTTTGCTTTAAGACTGTATTTATCATCTTCAAGGTRTAGTTTTCAATGTTAGTTTTATCTGTCTGCTTGCAATAATCTTTTGAGTTTGGTAATGTAGKATTTGGAAATCTCTCTTCAGAGGTCAAGGTCTGCAGCAGGATGCAAGCCTGAGATAGCCTTTACACGTTGAACRTGTAGAAGACATGGAAGTGCTGAGTGAAACAACTTAACTCCAAGAGCTTGAAATACTGAATTTGTAATGGTTTATGTAATTATGAGGTTGCAAAGGTACAAAGGACAGTTTTTCTAATTTGTAATTGAACTTTGATTGTTTTCAGGGAGTTTAAGGACTGGTGATCACTAAGTTGCTAGTATTGCTGTGGCTGCAATTCTGAAAGCTGGCTTGTGCCTGAAGTAAGATTAACAATCTGGTATAAATGGGGAATACAGGCCAAAGTTTGCTGATCCTTATTCACTTACCCTTCACTTAATCAGCCTATTTATTGTTAGTCAAACAGGATCCACATTCTTCTGCTGTTATTCTTAAACTGGCTCAGAATGTTGTTATTCTGAAAAGTCTTWTGGGTTTTTCTGTGGCATTTGTGTAGCAAAATAAGTACAAGYAAAGGAATGCTGAAAGGACTGTTTTTTAATAAGAAACACATGTTTCTTGTGGAAAAAAATACTGCATCATTACTGTTTGCTGTACTTTGCCTTCTTTCTATTTTTTTGAGAATGTCCAGGGATCTTTGTGAGTTGTTTTGAGGGATTGCCATCTAATACTTGGGATATTAATGGACAGGTTTTCTTATATTGATTTCCTAATGATAATAAATTTCAAATAACACTTAGAGTCTAGAGAGTGAGTTCTATGATTGTCTTGGAAGATTAGTGGGGATAGAAAACCACATGCTTAATTTGGATTGCAGCAGTAGTAAGACATGTTTCCTGCTGTGGCAGTCCACTCCATTGTGTCCCTCTTTGCCATCCAGAATTTAAGTGTGGGTGTTAACTTTCAACTATGGCATGGTTCTGAGCACAAGGGTCACTTCAGGATAACTGGTTTAGTTGGCATTGTGAAAGACAGAGGGACAAGCAAATTAGGCTGGTCATGGCTGGAAAAGAGACAAGGTTGTGTCTTGGGGTGGGAGTAAAGACTGAGTTTTTTTCTGTAAAGGACTGGGTATGAAGTACAAACAGATGTAGTTTTGTGTATTTTATAAATAGTGAGACCTTGTATGTAGAGGACAGTATTTAATATTTTCTTCTTGTGTAAAGGGTTTTCATATCATCTGAAATGCTAAGTTATTTTGTAAGGTTAATATTAATGATCCTCAGATGAAGCAAAGGATGAATTCTTACTTGATCTGTTAAGGTGCAATATTCTGTGACTTCTATAAAGTTGGAGGATAGCCTTTGCATTAGATTTCCTCCTTGTTGCAAGCATTTCTACCACCTTTTTTGAAGGATGCAAGGACAGAACATCCTTGTTATAGTATAGTAATGTGTATTTTATACTAGGCTATGCTTTTACTATACTTTTAAAACTTGTCTTTTGTTATTTAGACATGGGTTGTATGTGATCTTACGTGCTTTTGCTATCTCTTATATTCTACACATTTTATTTGACAAAAATTAGGACAGTCAGCTTCTAACTTTGAATTGGAGAAAAGGTTTTTTTATCCTCTGGGAAGAGTGTTAGTAACTTTAAGTCTCAGAACAGTTATGCAATAAAAAAGTTTTTAGAGAAATTTAATTAATATGTGAAACGTGTACTCTTCAGGGAAAGTCCATATAGTAGTATGTTACCAGCACTACTTCCTTGCATGACTGGCTCTTGGTATCATTCCATTTTATTGGTTTTCTAGAAATCTTTCAGTGTTTTTCTGCACTCAAAGACAGCTATGCAACAGTCTAGTGCCAGGTAAATTGTTTGGTGTTATGCTGCAAAAAATTTAAATAACATATGTTTGTGTAAACAAAAGGATTTTTTTTTATTTCAAAAGTTTTTTTTCAGTGAATGAAAAGCAAATAAGCAATGCCTTTTATTTCCTAGTGTGACTGTGAAATACTATGGAAAAGCTTCTCATGCTGCTGCWTATCCTTGGGAAGGAGTTAATGCATTAGATGCTGCTGTTCTTGCGTACAACAATCTGTCTGTTTTAAGACAGCAAATGAAACCATCCTGGAGAGTTCATGGTGAGATCTTCATTAAATCTAATGTCCAGCAATTAAGAGTTTAGGCTCTTGAAATACTAACATAGAGTACCACACATTCCAAAGTATTGCACTAAAGCACTAAATTAGTATAGTCACTTCARCTATGAAACAGCACCATTTCATTTAAGTGGTATATCTGTAGTCTTTAAAATCATGTCAGTGTCCCGAACTAACTGCTGAAAATAGGCTGAGAGGTYAGATTTGAAAGGCGACTCCAATGCTCAGGTACAGGCTATACTAATTTAAGTCTTGAAGTTGTAGTTCAGAAAGAAAGAAAAAGTGTGAAGTTTATTTTGGTGCATGGCCCTGAACTCCTTAATATATGTGGATTTGCCAAGGTGTAAGATTAAATACTTTGGGAAAGTGAAGTTTTACTTGCTGCATCATTTTTTTTAGTAGATGTTCTATTAATTAGATGGCATTTATTGAAAAGGTCTGGGGGTCTGGAATTAAATTTATTTGGTGARGTACAAAAAACAAGTGATGGCAGAAGATTGTAGTTCTGGTTCGTAGCCCAATCAGCTAGATATCCACTGGATTCTAATATTTAGTATCTAGTTGGTTTTGGCCATTATGCAGTAAGGAGGTTAGACATGTTAACCATTAATTTTRACTTGTACTCCATCAACATCATGCATTTCTGTCTGTAAAATGAGAAAGAGTCCAAATATAAGATGAAGCTACTCTTTAGCTATAAACCCAACACAACTTTATTACACCCRACACAACTTTTTCCAAGTTGAAATTAAGAAGCTTTGCCAATTCTACAGGACTTTTGAATGTAGAGTTGTTTATTTGGAATACTTGTTAYGAGCTTAAAACCCTTCCAGAAGTTCTGAGCTAATCATGTGTCTTGGCTACTTGTGCTCTATATAGTACAAGGGTGTATTTCGCTCCAGGAAATCTGGATGGAGTCCTRATCCTTTTGACTGTAGATGAAGCTGTTTGCAGTTCTGCTGTGCAGCATGCCCAAATGAATTTCAGACAACAGACACAGCCTCTCTRTCCTATTTCTCTGTAGAAAACAAGGCACATAATTAAGAGTTTTAGTGTCTGCAGCCCATGTGTTGCAGGTTTAAGGTTGAAGGTGCCTAAGTGTTCTATTGAATCTAAGCCTAACCCCCTAAATACTGCTTTCTTCATCGTTTCTAAAGGCTACATGGGTAAAGGTTGGCAAAAAATCTAAGTATCTAAACAAACCTAGAGGTAATGCTTCCTGAACAGCAGCAAAACTGAAATTACTGTGTTGATACAACTGCTGTCGTAAACCTGGTTTTCAAAGTGGAAATATTTTAAATACTTCTGGGAAAGAACAARCAGCCAGAATGAGATTTACAACATTGTGTACACATTGTGTTGGAAATCTCATGTTGTATACTTGCAGTATAATCAGTAGCTGAATTAATTCATCCTAAAAATAGTAATGTTAACCCACTAACGAAAGCTGAAATAGTTTCCATTGCTTGAAGTCTAAAATTTCAATATTTCATATACTGAAATATTGTTGTTTTGAGTTCATCTGAGGTTTTGATGTTTTGAAGAAAAATGTTATGTTCCCTGCGCATGGATGCAGTAATATGTTGCCCCGTCGAAAAACAGGAATTTAGATGTTTTTTCCTGTTCAAGAAATTGTATTAAACAAGTTGTTAAAAAAATAAGTTTCCATCCAGAAGGGCAAACTGGGTTTGCTACTAATAGTGTGCAAGCAGTGTACGTTTAATCTAAGTCTGCTGTCCAGTGCACATTTGCAGTTGTACTTAAATTTAACTGTATACTACTCAGACTTTCTCCAGTTCCATTTACAATCATGCTGGACAAGACAGGTGAAAGCTGTCTTTATTCACGAAGCTACTTGTTCTGAGAAAGCTTGCTATGGCTCTGTGTCATGCAAATTTTCATGAATACTTAGTGCTTCCTTTCCTGGAATATCTGTCCCTCTCATCTGAGCTGTTCCTATTGTTATGGACAAATACTRGTAGTGGATTAATTCAGCACTTTTTTATTTTGACTGTATTTGAGACTGGAARGGTTTTACTGGAGGTGGAGTTCATAATCTTAATAGGTTTTCTGCATCAGAAATAAAGGGRGTTTTGTCCATTTGCATGCCATTAGTGCTGTCTCTTCAGGCCTCAGTGACACACATCGGTAACTTCTGCACTGTTTTCATTTAAGGTAGAAGTTTTTCAGGTTCTACAGAAAACAAATCTAATTCCGCATACAAGAATTCGAGGGTGGGAGGCCAGGGAAACAGCCTATTGGAAGCAGCTAGCTGTTAGTGCAGTGAAGTCTAATGTACAACTGGTATCTATAATATTTTATTGTTGAATTATCTAAATATTACTGTCTTTTATCGTAATGCCTTTGATGCCATAATGGTAAAAGATGTGGTTATCACATATTTTCTCGAGGGAGCACTTTGAACTCAAACTCCTTGTGTGAATAAAGTACATGTATTATGCATTCAAGTGTTTMTGAAGAATTAATATGAGTAATCTAATGAAGTTCTGTGCACTGTAATACACACATTCCAGTATTGCTGAGAAATGCAAACTTATTCAGTTTTTCTTCAAGCTTGCAAAGCACATTGGAAACATTCTAATTGAGGAAATGTTTAAAAGTTGGAATCCAAGTTAGCCCTTGAGCAATTTTTTTTAATTGGCAGACAGATTGCTTTATGACTCCAATGCATTGAATTTTAGGGGATTAATTAGAAATGCTAGTTTGGCTTGACTCTGAGATTTAAAACAGATGTCTAATCAAAGAATGCTGTGAAATTGTGCTTAAAGACATGTACATGTACCACTTAATCTGACATGATGAAGAAACTTTGTTTACATACTGTATTTTCTACATTCTTTTTATTTCATGCTCAGCTGATCTTTTGTTGTTTGTATATTTATGGTTTTYGAGCAAGGAAATTTCATGACAGGGCTGAAGAACAGGCAATTGCATTTAACACTGACAACACAACTTTTCCCTTTCTGCAGGTGTGATAAAAAATGGTGGTGTGAAACCTAACATCATTCCTTCTTACACTGAATTAGAGTTTTATTTGCGTGCTCCTTCGAGGAAAGAGCTTTCTGTTCTAACAGAGAAGGTTGAGAACTGCTTCAAATCTGCAGGACTGGCCACAGGATGCAAGGTAAGAATATATTCATTGTTGTGTTTCTGTTACACAGACCAGAACAGGAAATAAAGGTTTACTTTATTTGTCTGCATAGTGTTTAGCCAAAGTAAATCTAAATTACTGTGATACTCTTTACTTTTCTGTTGCTTTAAGAGAGAAAGCTTGTGTGTGTGTGTTCTGAGAGAAAGCTTTGGTTTATAAATAGAATGCCACAGAATCTTAGAAGAATCTGTTGGGAGAGACCTCTGGAGGTCGTCTGGTCTAATTCTCTGTTCAGAACACGACCAGTTAGAGCAGGTTGCTCTGTGCCTCATGGACTTCAGAGTACTTCCAAGGATAAAATTCTACCACCTCTCTCAACCCACCTCATGGTGGACAAGGGTTTCTCTGATGTTTATGCTGCAATGACTTGAGCACAGAAATTGGAGTGTTTCCATCTTTGGAGGTATTCAAAAGCTRYCTTGATAYRGTTCTGGGCARTCAGCTCTAGRTGACCCTGAATGAGCAGGGGAATTGGACAARATGATCTCTGTAGGTGCTCTCCCACATCAACCACTTGGTGATTCTGTTGTATCCAATGGGAATTCCCTTTGTTGCCTCTAGCTGCYTCACTTTGACATCTGAGAAGTCTGGTTCTGCCTACGCTGTACCCTTCCCATCTGGTAACTCTAGACAGCAGTAAGATGGCCTGCCAACCTTGTGTTCTGTAAAGGCTGAGCAGATCAAGTCCTTTCAGCCTGTCCTTGTACATRGTGTTCTCCACCTAATCATATTGGTGGCCTTCCCCTGGCCTGGTTCCAGTCTTGATTTGAGGAGAACAAAATAAACACAATACCAGATGTGGTCTCACAGGGCTTGTCTACATCAGTAATAAAAATACTAAAACACTCATGGCACCAGTCTTGGTTGCAGATGAGTGCTACAAGTAAGAGGCAGCAATGTGGTCTTTCGTGCCACTGATGATAAAACACTGGAAGCTTGCATGTCTATTGTCGTCTGAGCCAGACATGTTATCACATGTTATCAAGCTAGTCCTGGTCATGTACTATCTGCTCTTAAATGGGCTCCATCTTGTATTCTGGATCTTCACAATTACCTTGTGGACATGAGTCCTAGGAGGATTTATTTGCTCTGTAATCCCTCTGGGAACTTGAGGACAGGACAATCTGAGGAGTGTGTGATTTTCAAGGACTTCGATTTGGCCCTTCAAGGTGGATGTGACCTTTAAATCATGTTCAGTTTGCTGGGGCATCTCTCTGTTTTAATGACACTTAAAAAATCATAGCTCCCARACTGCCTTTCTGCTTCTCTTACTCTGCATCCTTGGATGCATCCTGCCTGATTCCATGTACATACGATTTCTTTAAGTACCCTGTAATTTTTTGTTTTGCTGTGGGTGATGCTTCTATCCTACAGATAGTGCTACTAGGCTCAGAGACCTGGGAGGCTTGATGGCAAACCTCACCTGTAGAAACAAGCAAAACAGGTATTGGGTCTTGTGTCTGTTTTTTCCCCATATTCTTGGTCATTAGGTCCATTGCCCCTTTAAACAGCTGGTTCATGTAGCAACCAAATGTGAAAAACTGATTTTTCAATTAGCATTCTCATTTCTTTTGCTTTTAGTAAATGGAAGTGTGTTTCATCTGGCTGGTTCAAGCAATATGATCACCTTGTGTTGTATTACTAAGATAGGTGATTCTACTAGCTCTGGTAATTTCAGGCTTATGACTAATCCACCTTTAAAAAAAATGTATGTGATCATCAAAGCAAATAGGTATGGGGTATGTGAATGTTAGCATGTCACTTTTATAGGCTGTTTGAGGCATTAGATGCTGTTTTCCTACTGTGGCACTTTCACTATACCTAGAAAAGATTTTAGAAAGTGCACTTCATGCATAATGAAAGGTCTGCATGTAGATCTCCTTTGCAACTTGCCATTGATGGGTTTTTTCCATTTGTTTTCAAATTTCTTATCTGGGTGAAACCATTTCATGAATAGGGCTATAGTTATTGGAGGCATTCTAAAAGAAGGTAAAATACAGTTTGATAAAAGCCTATGTTTATTTCTACAGTAGTACCTGCAGGGGAAATCGTTACAGATTGTTACAGGAAATAATTGAATATTTTTAAAGAAAATTGTGAAATCCTTGCATCTGGAATTTGGCTGTCTAGTGCAAACTGAACAGAACACCAGCTGTGTTCTTGTGTGAGCAAGGATAATATTAGGCAGAACGTTGTATTTTTGAAAGAAACTTAGCACTTACCTCTGTTTTGCCTTGGACTTGAAGTCTGGATATGGTGTTGTTTTTTCTGGCCTTCAGATTGTTTACATTGAACTGGCTTACATTGGAGAAAAACTTACAATAATTTGGAATTTTTGTCTAGGTTGAAATAAAAGGTGGTGAAAATGATTACTATAATGTGCTTCCAAATAAGAGCCTGCAGAAAATTTACAAAGAGAATGGAAAGAAGCTTGGAATAGATTTTATATCAGAAGATGTTACCWTGAATGGCTTGTCAGGTAATTCCAACTGCATTTTTCATTATGAYTTCAGCTTATGTTGATCAACCCCTAAGTGTATAAAATAGCAAAACAGAGCTAAGTTAAACACAGTTTGGTCAAAGAAAAAGCCAAATTGCAAAGCTGAAGCTCTTTTAAACATTTATATTTCTGGCCTGTGTTTCTGAATTTGCTGTAGAAGCTAAGAACAGGTAAGATAATCAGCAATATCTTCTGATACTAGTTCTGAAAATATTTCAAGTAATAAACATTTTGGTTGGGGGAAAGGATGGAAAGCTAAGAKCAGTCTTTCTGAGAGCATGAGGATGTGTAATGAATTGTGTTTCATTCTGTGGTTKTAAAATACATCCATCCAGGTTTGCTGTGAATGGAGATGAGACTTTGATTTAGGAACCTTGTTTAATAGTTTCCTAGCTTACATATAAACAAATCTACTAGAATCTTAACTATTACTTTGGAGGGAGTTTTTGGAGAGGTTTATGAATAGAAGTTAAAGCATCTCACTAACCCTGATTTAATCTTTTCATTAACAAGCTTCTRTTTTTAGTTTATGAGTTCAACAGATTAGTTTTCCAAAGAGTGCCCTTCATATATGTGTTCACTTTTGGTCTTGCCTGTGTCTCGAATGATTTAACTTTTTTTTGGCCTCAGAACTATAACAGAATGGGACTTGAATGCTTAGGTGGGTTTCTTGTCCTTAACACGTTGATTTTTTTTCAGAATCCTCCTATAGGAGCTCTGTTCAAGTGTTGACTTCTGCTCATACTTTTAGCCTTTGCTACTGAACTCTATTTATGGATGTTTTTACTTCATTCATACATTTTCTTGGAAGGAAAATACTGTTCCCACTAAAAAGTTACTCTAATTAATTTGATTGTGGTACTTGCCTTCTCTATATTAAGTGCAGATTATCTTTGGAGTTTGGACAAASTTGGTGTTTGGGAAGAGCTCTCCAAACTTCTTTTTGTGGGTTGGGGAGAAACTGTATGTAGTATCACTGGTATCTAATGGTAATAGATTTTTTTCTGTTTCTTACTTCCTTTCCAAATTAAACACCAGTTCATTGTCTTGTGTTGAAAAGCAAATTATAACTTAAGGGAGATTTTTTTCTTTTCTTCAGTGTAATACAAATCAGATTACTACTTTGCTCATTTAGCCAAAGAATGGGGCTGAGGAACCTTTGATCTTACTTAGAGTTTACTGTAGTGCAACTTTCTCGACCTCTGCTAGTTGATCCCTCCAAACCATTGTAGTAAGAATGARCATGAATATTGGTGATCTTGCTTTGTTCAGAGAGCTTGAAGTGAACTTTGCACAGACAAGCAGTTGCAATAGTGCTTTCATATGTAAGTTACATGATATGTTAAATGTTGACCATAAACTTGATTAAACCAAAACTCCCCATATGCCTGTCCTGTCCTTGAAYTGCATGTCAAATGTCAAAATGTGTTTGAGCRATTRCTTTTTTATCTTGCACTGCAGTAGRTTTTACTGAATTTTCTTTCCACAGTTTCTYCTCTGATTTTTTGCAGTGGGAATTCAGGAGAGATAACAAAGCACAGTCTCCAGAGCCATAGGAGTGGAACTTTGTATGCTACCCTTTTTGGGGGGGTTGAGTGTTTTGTGTCATCTTTTTCAAGCCCTCTATTTTGGTTTAGTTTTCATGTGGTTTTCAATGTTTTCTTTTAGGATATCAGTTTCTTCTGTTGAAAGGGAAGGAAGATAGCTCAGTTGCTTCTCCATGTCTGTGCAGCAGAACAGTCGTTAAGAGATGAGCGTACTCGCTGCCACCTCTGCGTGGGTATTAGTGTCGGTCTGCTCACAGGTATCTCTCTAGGCAGATAAGCGTAACCAAGGCTTCCTTCAGTGCATCAAATCACACCACTCTGTGCCTGGTGCAGCTCTGCTTGCTGGGCACACAGCCAGGGTGATGTGACATACTGGGAAACTGAGCTAGCTTGGACCAGGTACTAGGACCTGTTTCTCCTACTGGTTGTAGGGTAGCTTTACTACAGGATACCCATAACCTAAAGCAGATGGCTTAGTTAATCATACCTTAGTTGAGGTACTCACACCTGTGATAACTTAACCTGGTCAAAATTTGGTATTCATGGGGTTCATTGGCTTCCTGTGCACAAGACTGATAAAGAAAATCWTAAGAAGGTCTAGTATATTTTGAAAATTCCACTTTTGAAGCTTGGGACTGTATATAAAGGTTTCCTTTTGTGTTTTCCCCTCTGTTCCTGTTTGTGGTAATACTGACTCCATTAAATATTCAGTGACTTGAAGAGGCTTCAGGATATATTTTTGAGAGATAGGAGCTCCAATGTATTTCTGTTGAAAATAGTGCAGGATTATGTATATTGCATTGATAACTGCAATTATTTATACTTCTAGAAGGAATCCCAACCTGTATGTGTCTAGCAAGTGTACTATTTCAGATATTTGTATTGAAACCATTGGAACCCCTGATGTTCTAAACATATCTCTGTGTTATTCCCATCAAGGGTGTCACATTTTTCTCATAGAGGGAAAGATTTAGCTGTCACATTTTTGTTAAAAGCTGCCTGTTTTTTGCCTCTCCATATAACTAGAAAATACCCAATTTAAATCCCTTCTATTCAGCAAAAATAGCATATCAACTGGTAATGTATTGGATATGGATATAAATCTGGGAGAAATTACATGACTGAGCTATGATGCAGTGAAATTTCTGATGTTTCATTCAGTAAGTGAGAGCAAGGAAAAGGGTAGYACAGTCTTTGCAGCAGTTCATGGGACTGAGTAAGGCAGATCTAGAATCCTTGGTTCTGGAGTATGCAGAACTTCTGGTTTGTCTATCTAGATAGACCAAGAATGAATCAGTAGTGCAGACTACTGGAAATCAAAGTAACTTGTTGCTGTGCCAAGTGTTGGGTTTTCTTCAAATGCATACTGAATTTATGGGAAGAGATGTTTTTGAACAAGCTTTGCTGTTTCCATTGACTGTAAGCAGAGCAAATAGCAAACTCTTTTCCTCATAATGTGGGCTCTGTGGACTGATTTTTAATAGCTGTAAAAGTAAAAAAAGTAAAATCTGTATTCTTCAATCATTTAATTACTAAATCTTAAGGTATTAGCAATATATTCTCTTCATAAAGTATCATGATATAGAGGCTACCTGATGTGTTACAATTAATCCTAATTTTTTTGAATAGTCATTTTATATACCATTGCTAAAGAAACAAATTCTTGCATCTCTGGCCCCAAAAAAATTTATTGACATCTTAGTGARGCATATTTTTCCCTGTTACAAAACAATGCTTCCTCTGGTGTCTGGATTTCACAATAACGGGTATGTTGATTCCTCCAGCTTCGAAATGTCATTTTAACAAAGGATGAGGGGATTTCTTGTTTGGGGAAAAAAAACCTCTTGGGATGTAGCTGTAGACTCTTGGATGATTTACTATGCAGAATCTTCTGTTTGGGATGGTATCATTGGGTAGATAAGACTATGAGATCCATGCTTCCATTACATAACATACTGAAAGTGATAGGCAGGCATGAAAGAATTATCATTAAAATCTGCAGCGTTGCCATCAGGTATTTGTCTACAAAGCTCTAGCATTTTGTCTGGAATTTAGTTCTGGTTTTATTTCAGAGGTGCTTGTGCCATTAAAATTTCCGTAACTAAGAATAATCAAAACACATGGGGGATAAACAGTTATCCTCAATGTAGTTTTAATTAAAGATAAACARTTTCTGCTTCAGTCCCCTACTGAATGCTGAATATTTGCATATTGGTGAGAAGCAGGATGTGTTTGGCCTAGTTCTGAGGGTTCTAAGAGGAAGGAAACTGAACTGTGTGAAACTCCTAAGGTCTGCAGCTTTCCTTGTTTCTGAATTAACAGCTTACTATCAGGAGATGCTTGATAAGAAATGAGCAATTAAGGGAATAGGAGTATGCTGAGACATCCTCCCTGCAGTGCAATAACTGATCTTTGATCAGAAGTGCACTGGAGTGAAGCACCTGAAGATGACTAGTYAGGGAAAACACCTTGGTGACAGGAGATATTTGTATAGATAATGACTCAATAGGAATGCTTTTATTTTAGTATTTGRGGCAAAGGATATTCCATTTTAGATACGGGCTGGAGATAATGTYTATCATGCATTTTCTTACAGCACCAAAAACTGCCCAACATTTGTTTATTAAGAAAATCTCTATGCTGCTTCTAGGTTCTACCGACTTTGGAAATGTTACATTTGTGGTTCCTGGGCTTCATCCTTATTTTTATATTGGTTCTGATGCGTTGAATCATACTGAGCAGTACACAGAAGCTGCAGGTGAGTGGAAGTGAAAAGAGTTTGAGGTTTATATTTGGAATCCTTATGCATTGTGTAGACTGCTTCCTGGCTCCTCACTACTGCAAATGTAGAAATTAGAAATATTTCAAATTATGGARAATTAAAGCTTTCTCATGTTTCACTGGTATTTAAAGCTACTGTGTAGTAAATGTTTAAATGTGTAACTACTGGACCTAAAATTGGCTGCATGTGTATAACTTAWGGAATACCTTGTACCTTTTGTCAAGCATGATGCGGTCTGAGGTGAATAKGGACCCTGAACTAATTAACATTAATAGTAGAGTTGCAGAAAAAAGCTGACAAATGTAGAATTTCTAGGTTTTTGTTTWAGGTTGCATGTATAGGGGAAGGATTACCACTTCTCATACTAAAAGCCTGACCTGATAGCATCTAGACAAAAGAAATTAGAGTGGTTATGCATAGCAGCATATTCAAAAGAATTTCTAAACATGACCCAAAAGAGAAGAGCAATTTTTACTCCTAAAACACAGTACTTTGGAAACATGACTGTGATACCTTATAAAACGCCACATTTTCTAAAGAGCATAATGTGAACATTCACTTTCCTGTTCTCAGTTGTTTATATCAGTTGCAGAATTTTAAGTACTTGCAAGTGAAAAAATGTTTTGAGGCATGGGAAAATAGATACATTTCATGCAAGTAGATTTTTAAGAAAATATTCTTGCAGCTGAAACTTACAGATCTTGTTTTATAAAATACACCATATGCAGTGAGCTAGTGGTTTAATATTGGTAATGTAATCTGAAATTCCTCTTGCTTTTTTTTTCTGCAGGGTCACAGACTGCTCAGTTCTATGCCTTGCGCACAGCAAAAGCTTTGGCAATGACAGCACTGGATGTAATTTTCAAGCCAGGTCTACTACAAGAAGTCAGGGAAGACTTTAGAGAAGTGAGGCTGAAAGAAGAGGAACAAATAAATCCAGCAGAACCTAAAAAAGAATCTGGTGTTGGTGTAGGAGCATGTGCATCRCACTAGACTTCATTAAAACTTTTTTAGTAGGATTGACTTAATGGAGATGCTGTATTTAAATCCCAGTAGGGGCTGGATAAATATGTAGCTGAAGAAATTATGATTTTACTTTATTCGCACTGTAGGAGAAGCAAATAGTATCATTGCTTTCAGAAATGTGAAATTTCATCTAACTGTAAGGTTTGTGTTCAATATAGTGATTGATTTCGTATAGAGATTTCAAATACGCTGTCTTTAATTTGAAGCATTGAATAAATTACAGTGTTTAGATCCCTTGTCAGTGATTTTCTGTGTAGAAAAGTAATGAAGTAATATTCCTTAAAAAGGAAGTATGGCAGTTTTTATTCTAAAATAAGCACTTTTCATTCAGTGATCATAAGCTGAATCTGATCCGTGAAGCTTCTGTGAACTCTGTCACTTTTCTTGGGACAAGATTGAGACTTAAAACATGAGCTGGTTTCATTGAAGAGAAGGGGCTATGTTTGGAAACATACCTGCTTTTGATAATAGTACATTTTAGCAGTGGAAGAGAACTGTTTGYATGGAAATGCAGTCTGTAAAGCTTGATTGTCCTCAAATGCTTTGATTTTCCTCTTAATGAATTTCGGAGGTGTTGTGGAGAAGTCATGGGTGACTAAATTGGAAGGCAACTAAATGTTTATTTGTTTAAATGAACACATTTAAACTACTGTAGGAAAAATTGTGCTCTGATCCAGTGCAGGTGTCCACATGAGGTGTTGCCTTAGCTTAACTGGATGTTAGGATGTCTTTCAATTCACTGGTTAAAGGATCTTGTGAATACACAGAGGGGAAGTTAGTGGACAGATGGAGTGAGAAAGCAATGTATTGATTAAGATTTCCTAAACACAGATATTACTGTAGGTTTAAGAAAGGAAGGCAGGCAAACTATTCCCCAGGAAGTCAGAATGCTTGACTTTCAGAAACTTTTTTTTTTAGCAGTACCAGTCTCTAAATGGTAAACTCTAAGATTCTATTCAGAATTTATAGTTTATTGATTTCTACAGTCACTTCCAATTCTACACTAGTGTCCTTGCTTTCATTAGCAAACAGTTTTCACAGATGGATGCGTGAAACAAATGGACTCTGACCTATAGGTACATCCAGGATAGTAAGTTGGATACTAAATCCAACTGAAATTTGTTCTAAAGTTTGTCAAAGGAACTTTGTCTTTAACTTTTAATTTACAGTCTGCCTGGCCAGTTCTCAGACACAACAGAAATTCATTAAGATCTGCTGGGTTAAGATCTGCTGAGTTTTATTTCCTCCTGCAACAGCTGCTTAAATCATTGCTTTTCTGTTTTTAAGATGGGGTGTTTGGATCCCACATAAGATAGCAGATGCTGTGTTGCTGTTTCCTACAAGCTGATGTGCATTAGAGACTTCTTGGTTCTCTTTGTCCAGACTTCTTGGCTGCATCACATCCAAGATCAGTTAATTAAACTTCTCTAAAAGTGTGTCTTCATTTTGTTGTAATCATTGCTGGAATTAAAATGGAATTGAAGTACTGATTAAAGATGAGTTGATATTAATAAAGGAATTTAATTGTGATTGAATTTTCATGTCCTGTGCTTAATATTGGGATGCTGCATGATTTTATTTGAGTCACATGTTTGATTTTTTTCTTTTTCCCTGTAGTTTGTTATGATTATATAAGATTGAGGGTGTTTGAAGCTTTCCTTTTTGGTCTGTATGTATGAAGGTTAATACCTTTCGAATACAATATTTAATGTTAGTTTTTATAATCTTAGGGCTGTTTTAACTGTAAAACATGCTGGAATTGATAGAATAGTAGGAATGTGAGTTTGTGAGAGATGTCTGAAGGATCTCTGTTAGGCTAAACCTGGTCTAGCCTCCAGTTTAAAATGGGATTGTCACAAATACTAAGTCAGGTGACTTTGGCTTCATTTGCCAAATCATTAAATACTCATTCCGCCTCCTTTCTCAGCTCCCCATGGGAGCTAATTCCAGTTTGTCTCAGAATGTTCATTCTTTAGATCCAGAACTAAAACAGTTTGGGATTTAACCTTGTGATTTTACTATCACAGTGATAGTGTGTATGGTAGAAATTTAGTTCCTGTGGGAACAAAACTATGGTTTTCAGTCATTTGTGTTTATAAATCACATATACATGTAAATATGTGGCATGCTTTTTAAATTGTCCTAAMTGCAGTCTTCCCCAGGCTTTTGTAATTTAAAAATATTGGAATAYTTGTCAGGGATAGTATTTTCACTAATGAATCAAAATGTGCAGGTAATGAACTTTAATGACTGAAAYTATTCTGATCAGTTGATGGCAAACCACAGCTGTGTGAGGATCAGATGATGTTCAGATGTTGTGAAGAATTTGAAGCCTCTGCCAGCCCACCAAGCTACTGTATTTCCTTAGTTAGTATGTCTTCGAACCTGAGTAAAGGATACATTTAGTTTAAGCAAAACAAAAAATAAAACAWGAAATATGATGGGTTTATTTTTTATGAAAATATTTGAAGGAGAGAACTTGCAGTCTGCTGTGTTCCTGGTGTAGAAGAGCCCAGCAGCCTTTCTTCAAACTGTAAATGGAAAGCAGTTTAATGTTCTTGTGAATCCTATTTCTGTAATTGTTTCCCCCCACWGTGAGTGCTGTCCCTGCTCCCATTGCAGTCACAAGGAGCAGGACTGTACTTCTCTGAGGAGGAGTCATGACACTTTAGTTATTGAAGTAGGTCTCTCTAGTATTCACTGAGTGATGTCTTGTTAACAGCATTCCTTAAAACTTTTACTTAAAATGTTTAGGAATAAATAATTCTGAAATAAACCAGAAAAGTCATTCTACATTATTTCCTTTTTACCCTTGAGGTTTGCAATTTCCTTGTCCTGCAGGTAGCAGCCTTCCACAGAGCCTTTTTCCAGTGGACTGTTTTGTTGACTGCTGCTGCCACCCACATTTTGTTCTTATTAGGGAGCAAAAATGCATCTTTCCTGAGTGTTCTTACCCAAACTCTACTAAAYCACAGGTGGGTAAGATTTCTGCCAGGTTAGATTCCTCTAGGCACTAATGGAAGCCAAAAGTATCTGACAAATTCATTGAGGATTTTTCTCAAGCTACAACTGCATCTGAACGTCTTTATTTTAAAATACAGTGYGAAGCCAAATGCTTCAGTCCTAATGAAGTCCACATGGCTGAGGACAGTAAAAATACGGTGCTATTGTTTATGATAGCTCTAGAGTTTCAGAGAATCACAGAATCATTTTAAGGATTTAAGAATGTTTGGAATTCTTCTGGATCAGGTCCTCAGAGAAAAGGTCTTACACATATAAACTCTTGGAGATCATGCTTTTGAAGGCAGAAAACACTCAATGTTATACAAATGTGAAGTTTTATTGTGATCTTGAGTGTTTCTAGAAATAAACAAAAGCAAACAAACCTCTCATTTTTTGTGGAAGTGGAAAGAAGCAGTGTCAATGATTGGATACAAAACCCATACAGTGAAAGGTTAAAAGCCAAAAAAGTGTKTATGTAAATATGTTTAATGAGTACAGTTGCTGATAGCAAACACTGACTGTATATGACATATCCTGTAGTTATAGAATACATGTATATACACATTTATACAAGACTGAAAAGGCACTAGAGTTTCCCAAATAAAACACGAGCAAATTAACTGTGTAAATCCAAACACCGAGGCTGRGGAATCAGTTTAGGGAGTGGTGCTGGAAGGGAAATTTTGAAAAATCACATGGGAAGTTAGAAACAAAGTTCCCACTGAAAGCCAGGGAATTCAGAATTCCAGCTCCCATTTGTATTTTCAAAATCTCCCTTATTATACTGCTCAGATGCCAATAATGTATGTAGTGTAGATTAATGAGTCTATAAAGGAATGTACCATACTGCAGCAAACTACAGAACATTAACCTTCTTATGGAGCTGAAGAGCTTACTATAAAATCTGGTACTCCTGTTCATGCTATTCTTAAGTTGCAGAAATAAATGGGGTCTTGGAATACTGAAGATCTAAATACATTCCTGTGCAAGTTTGCCCAAGAAATCTTGGAGCTATTTGTGGGGGAAGGTGCCATCAGAATAAGGAGTAAGGTAGGGTGAGCAAACCTGGTGGTCAGCTTTTCATCTGCTTTTGYCAGTGACCTTTCTACTTTCATTTGACTGAATGTTTACAGGTCTTAAGAAAAAAAAAGGCATTTTTTTAATCTCTTGAAAAAACTTACAAGATAATAATGTGATATGAAGTGAACTTGATAAAATAAAGCTATGATAACATACGTGCATGTGAAAAAAACCCTATGTAGAAATAAGTACAACTATCTCATGGGTGGGTGTATCTCTCAATGATTTTTGCTTCTGTAATTTTGCTGCCTTACTTATGAAGTGTAGGCTGTGAGAGGAGTGTAGGTTGTTTTTCAGGTCACAATTTTAGCAGTTGTAAGAAGTGCTGAGTATGTYTATGTAACAGTTATTTACATAGGAAATGAAAACAACCAGCAGAGTCCAAACAACTGCAATGACTGTGTCACATGCCTAATGGTAGAGTGACAGAACAGGCAGGCCAGGGCAGGTGTCATGTAAGAAGATTCACTCTCCTTTGGAGTCATCACTGCTTAGGTCTGATGCTCAGAACAGCTCCACCCGTAAATCACAACAGTATCTGCTGTGCAGGCAGTAAGGAATTCTGCAATTGTGTGCAAAAGCATGTGTGTGTTTAAAGTCATGTGAATGCAAACCCTCAGGTAGCTTTGTGGACATAGGTGTATAACGTGGCAGCAGAACAACTGAATGATCACAATTCTGAGACACCTTTGGTGCTGCTGGTGTTGTAAAGGCCCCCGATTCCATTCAACTGATTYGTTTTCCGGAACCATTTTACATTTCGGCATTACAGATTCTGCCTTTTCCATATGGAGTATTCACACTGACTGGCTGCCCTGCAGACACAGTGTTGGAGAGCTGGGACCTGAGTCAGTGCCAGCTGCCCCCAGGTCCAGCTGTATTCCCTTGCTCTGGCTTGGAAGGTGCTGAGCCTTCTCTGCAGGCATGGTGGGCTGCAGATGCTGGGGAGGCAGCCTGAAAGCGGATTCTTTTAGTTGTACCTGTGTCTGTAATGGAGCTKCTGTCTTATGGTGAAAGCTGTTTTCTTAATTCTGAAGTATTTGGCATGGTATCTTTTGTAAATCAAATATAAAGTCCRTATGACTCCTTTGTCAGCTGCTAAGCACCTTTCTATTATGCTTTTACTAAAACCAGATGAACCTGGGTTTTCCTGGAAGTGAGTACAATTACTGCTGGCTTTGCAGGCTGCAACACATTTTTAGGCTTATACAGACTGGTGATGCCCAGACTATATCAGAGGAAAGAGGCTTCTCCTGAAGAAGTTTGGGGTTTTTTTTGTARACAACAGATTGTCTTCACTGGATCATTTTGTAGAGAGACCTGTTCCCAAGAAACTCAAGAGCAAAACTCACAATGACCCAAAGAAGCAGATCCAAGGAGAGCTCCTGTGTTTCCCAGAGGATTTGGTCAGCATTGAAGGAAGTCTGGCTTTTGTTCATTCCTTATTAAATGTACGTTGCAACTCATATTTTAAAAACTTAGTCAAAACGGTTYGGAAGTATTTCCTTGTTTTAAATACAATTGAGACAAAGCACAAGTCTGAAAGTATCACTACATGGACCTGTCAGTGCAGTACTGCTAATGAGTCATGCATCAAGCTGTGAAAGCAAGCTGTAGCCAGCCATCAATAACCTTGCCAAAGTGTTTCCTGGTACCAGCTATTTTGTGTTTGCAATTACCATTTCTGACCTCATCCTGCAAACATGCAAGTATTTGCATATTCTTTCATTTATTGGTATTGAATGTGGTCAGCCTGCTGAGTTGAGAGATGTGTGCATGCACTCAGGTACTCAGAGAATTAGGATTTCAGGGGCACAAAATGGACGATGCACCATATATAAGCAACTGGCAAWTACAGTCACTTGTTAAAATAGTTTACAGTGGCCTGTGAGGCACAAGAAGGAACATAGCACATCTTTAAATAATTATAAAATTTTAGATTGTATATCCTATATTTTGCTCACACGTGAAACTTCCACAGTTATTTATGCCACAGATGAATTGCCTCTAATAAAAAAAAAAAACAACCACATCCTGGAAAAAAAAAAATCAATCTTCCTTTCAATTAAAACAATTCTCTATGTCTATACAGCCTATGAGACTGTACTTTCATTTAATGTCACAATGCTCTGTGACTACARAAGTTATGAATCTCTATGAAAAAATGGACCAATATATCAAATTGAATAGGATGTATGCCCCAGGGAATATTATCCTGGAGTACTTGTCGATGGCATGGGTGTCGATCCTCATGCTGACGTATCTCTGGTTTTTCCTCCTGGCYGAGCCCCTCTCCGAGCCCAGTGCCAGCTGCACCATCATCCGGTCCTGTTTGTCCCCGTTCTCGGACATGAAGTTCCCCAGCTCGTTCACGTCCCCATCGTTGTAGCTGCCGTCCACCATCATGGTCCGGGGCTGAGGTACGCTGCATGCACAGGCAGGCTGTGGACACAAACAAGGGCAGGGAGGGTTTGGGCTGTGTTCACACAGTCACAGACATCCTTTTCCTCCTTCCATCCCATAGAGCAGGGGAAAAGCCTGGGCAATTCAGGCTGCTGGGACGCAAAAGGGAGAACAAGAGTGTGCAGGTGGACAGCAGCTTTTTCCATGTCTGCAAGGCACAGGCCCGTCAGAGAGAGAGCAGGAAAAGCTCCTTTGGCTTTTCCTTAGGCACAGCCATCAGGGTGTAAATAAAGGTTGGACCTGTGCCTTGCAGCTGAGAAAATCAGRGAGGAGGACAGAGGGAAACCACAAGATGGAATGCATGAGGCCCACCCCATCTGGAGAGATCTTAGGCTGGAATTTTWGTTAAAATTTAATTTAACAAGGGCAGAATGGGAAAAATGGGACCACTGTGTAAGTTTAGGCTRGGAATAGACAAAGTGGGGGATATCTGCCATGTCATCTGAAACCCAAAATGCAGACTCCAACTGATTATTATCCACAGGTTTTAATCTTCAGTAAAAAAAAAAATATATATATTTGAAGGTAAAATCCTAAGACTCATCCCATCTATACAGGTAGTGGAGGACTATACATACAGAGAGTCAGCGTGCTCAGACAACAAAGAAAAAGCAGTGAGCTTGGGTGTGGGTTTTGTGTGGCATATCTTTGTAACYCGCAATGCCTCACTGCTAGTGTATTTTTGCATCCACTGCATTCTCCCCAGGCAGCTGAAAGCAGCAGACTGCAGTTGCAAAGCTTTGAACATTGCCAGACTTTTGCCACACCTTTTCCCAGGGGCAATAAAATTACATTGGAGATAGAAAACTTCACCTTTTCYCGCTGTTTCCTCTCCTTCCGCTCCTGCACYGTTGTCAGRTAATTCACAGCCGCGTATTCCAGCACCGAGAGRAAGACAAACACAAAACTGACCCACAGGTAAATGTCCACTGCTTTGATGTAGGAAACACGAGGCATGGAAGCGTTCACCCCAGTGATGATCGTGGACATGGTCARCACAGTGGTTATCCCTGGGAATACACCAGCAGAAAAGAGTGTAAGACACTTTCAAAACAGACTCTTCATCACAAATCCAGCAGCTGTGACAATTTCCTGAYATCTGAATTTACCTTGCAATATCTACATTTGGGTAATGTGTTTCACTGCCTGAGAAGGGTCCAGGCAGTCCTGATTTGTAATTGKGGTTTTCTCATCCATTTGGTGAGCACTGCTCTAATTCTGGTCTCAGGGTGCTGCTAGTCTGGTTCCTCACTACACCACCAGCCTCCCACCCCACGGCCAGGCAGCAGCGCCTYGACCCTGTGCTGGCTGCACCCCATTCCAGGCTCAGGACAGTCCCTGGAGGGGTACAATRTGGATTTGAACCCAGGGATCCTTACGGGCTCCTTTTAACTCAAGATATTCTATGAYTCAACAATTCTGAGTATCTCAGCCCCTAGTTCAACCCCTCCACAGCATGGACACAAGTGAAGCTGCTGCTTTTACCCATTTCCCCAGTGTTTTCTGTATGCTGGACTTCTCCTGGGAAGTCCTACTTCATGGGAAGTCACAGAAATCACCAGCTGACTCTCACATCTAGTCTGCACCTTCACTGGAGCAAATGCAGGGAATAATAGTGACCCACAAGGCAGTGCTGTCCCACATTACACCCTGGGCGAGCACATGAGCACATGAGCAAGAGCAGGAGGTCATGTAGCTCAGCAGCACCCCGGCTCTGAGAGACCCTCTCATTTCGGGGGCTAATTATGTCCCATTAGTGATTACTTTGGAAGTTAAAATTATGTATATTAGCACAAAGGACTGAATTCACGGGAGTATCTAGGTGCTAAAAATACTGCTAAGGTAGTGTCTTTCAAAAAGTCATGGCCCAAACCCTCATGCTTCTTTTAATGATGTCTCTAAGCAACGGGTGCTGTTTCTAAATTCAAACATGAAAAACTTCCCTATTGCCATCTCTATTATGTCTCTATATATTCTCTCTACTGACAAATTTAAGAATGATTTTAAGAATAAATAAAATTATTTTAAGAATAAATAAAATCCTGAGGCATGTTGCCTGGAATAAGAGGAAGCAAGCTTGAGTTCAGAATCTGCAAAAAAACAAACAGCACTTTGCTGAGGGCAAAGCATCCACTTTAGAAGATTTATGTCCATATCACAGTTCTGCTGCTATGGTGATTCATGTGACATATGGCTTCATCTCTCYGAAAGATGCAGCAAAAGGGGAAGCAGAATCCCTCACACTGCAGTGCAAACTCATTTAACAAGTTAAACTGCACAACACAGTTCAGCTGTGTTGCCTCCACCCTAGCTCCTCCAACAAAACTCAGTAAACTGAAATTTTGTCAGGGCTGCTGATACTGCTTTTCACCTTCTCCCTCACTGACAGCTCTTTAGGATACTGACATCTTGGCTTTACACATGCCCTGCTCTCTGATTCATTCAATGTGCATCTTGTGCAAAAAGGGAAAGCATCTTGCTTGGCACCGCAGGGCACCTGGGGAGTTTGCACCATGAGGGGACACRTGCCCTGTCCCTGAGGCACATGTGTGCGGCATAGCTGATTTCTGTGCCTCAAGGCAACACTGCATGGCACAGGGCATTCCATCTTGATGGCCAAGCTGTGCTTGCAGCCATTGTCTCTTAAGTCTATTACAAGATTGCTTTTACCTAATGGAACTCTGGCAGGAACTGCTCGTCGGTCGATCCAGAAGGACACCCAGGACAACATGACCATGAGAGTGGCAGGGAAGTAAGTTTGGAGCAAGAAGAAGAAGATGTGTCGGCGTAAAGTGAAGTTTATATAGAGGCGATTGTACCACCCTGTGAAACAGAGAGAATGAAGAAGAGAAGTTACACCAACATCAGACTACGTTCAGATAGGGTAATGTTGCATCAGGGGAAAAGGGACTAATTTTCTATTATGAAAACAGTTAATAGCCACAGATCATAGCAATTTACAGAAAAATCTCCTTACTGAACCAACTACCAAAGCCAAAGCATCTCTCAGGCTGATATGTTCCAGAAAATATAACCTATACAATCAGAGAGTTTAAAACTTGCTGTGATCTTGAAGGGGGATTATCTTTCCAGACTACATGACCATTGAGATGGAAGCGTGTGGCAGGGACAGCCAATTTGGTATAGAAAAGAGGCAGGTCTGATGGGACRCAGAGACAGCTCCCAGTGGACAATSCTCCATGGCCAAGGTCAAGAGAGACAGTTTGCACCCCTTCTTCCCCCAGCCCACTCTCCAGCAGATTGCCCACCTGTGCTGCTGTAAAAGGCAAGCTTTGTGGTGGTGTGAAACTCCTGAATCAGGAACTGGGACAGTGATATCCTCTCATCTGTTTTTAGGGAATCGTTCCCTTTCTTCCAGTAGAGCATAAGGTCATCTTCAGTGTAGGCATCTGGGAGAGCAGAACAAACTCAGGATAGTGCACTAAGGCAGCTGCTACCACCCCCACAGCCCAGGGCATTCCCACACAATCCTCCCGGCTATCAAGCCAGCTGGAGGTCAAAATGAATGCCACCCACTTRGGTGGTGGGTATGGTTTTGGCAAGGAGTGGACTAGCTCATTGTCACAGCCCTCRGGCCTGATACCTGATATGTTTTGTAAACTCTCCTGTTTCTCTAATCGTAGTTTCACACATATGTGTGTCAAGCAACCCACCACATCAGAACTCGAAACATTATCCTTGGTAAACCTCTAAAACTAGAAGTAAGGAAAAGGAACCTTAGCAGAAAGAACCTGCTTGTGGTGATGGGAGGGAGGAACCATCTGTCAATGGTCTGAGGGACRTAGGAGGAAAAACTCTTGGTAAACTTTCTGCTATGGTACACACAGGAATACTATTTGGCATTTTAACACATGTGGAAGTAATAGTAATGTTAATCCTTTCAGATGGGTTTAGTAGCAGCTCTTTCCAGACAGGGAGAAAAAAATCACATATAAACATATTAAAATAGAATTAAGGGAAGCTTAAGAAAGAGAAGAAAATAATTCCAAAAAGCTAAAAGTTTAAAATGTTGCTGTAAGAAATCTGGCTAATTCATATGTGTGTCATACTTGGGACAAAGGGCATACACTGAATTATCTCAAATAGAATGAAGAAGCATAAAGGCACCTGGGCAAACAGGCACTGTTGGAGACTGCTGACCTGCAGGCAAGTGTCCCCGGGCCTTGGGSGGTGGGGTGGCAGTGGGGCATTCAGGGGCACTGGAAAGACAGGGCTCACAGCTATTTTTTAAAAACACTGTTGTTGCAAATTCTAATTTCTAATTCTAGTGAAAAAGTACAGGTGGGGAGTCTTTCTTAGTGTTGAAGTCTGATGACTTTGGTTGGAGCTCCCATTAATGTAGCARCAGCTTAATTATTGATATAATTAATTATTGAGATAATTACTTATTGGTAAAACACAGTTTAGGTGCCCATGGGCTGCACTTGGCTCCCCTACACCTTCACTTACAGCTTTCGATCTCCAGGGAACACGTCTGTGTGTCCAGGGGAAAGCGACTAAAATCCATGTTGCACATTGCYGTTACTGTAACTCTAGGAATAATAAAAATCACTCCGTTAAAAACCGGTCTCCTTATGTAACTGAAAAATAGTAAAGCTGTGAGTTTGCTCTTCTATTAAACAACTACAGCCAGTACTAGTCAACTGAAAATAAATTCTTTCCATTCAGCTAAAGCCATTCCACTTTASTTAAAGCCATCTCTTCCTCTTAGCAAACTACTGTTAAAAGAGGTGACTAGAAAGTTATGMCATTAAAAATTGCTACTGGATGAAAAAAATATTGCAGAATAAAATGGGAAAGGGCAAAAAAGACACCTTCCCCCCCAACAATCAGCAAGGACAGGATCTCTGCAGACATCTGTCCTTTAAACAGATGCTTTGTACGATAAAATAATGTCAATTGATCAAAGTCATCATTGTGCCATGAGGGATGCAGGTAACTGCCCCTGCGCACCGTGAATTCATTTCCAGCTGCTCAGCTGGAACCGGGTGATCACACATGGGAATCAGCCACCAGAGGGCACAGGCAGTGCCTCGAGCCAGAGCTGGAGCTGGAATGCAACAGTGATCACTGAAATGCTCGGGCCTATCAGTCAAAAGCTCTGGCCTTGCTATAGTCTGATTATCACATTTTTAATAGTATAATTTGGTGTTTGAACCAGAAACATCCATAAATCTTGACTCGACTGGTTTGGACTCTACAGCAGTAAATGAAAATAAAAGTATAATTCATAAGGAGGAAAGAATTAGTAAGTTATAGAAGGGTTAGTGGTAGATAGACATTTGTCACATAACGACAAAAACACAATGCAATCCCTTGTGTTAGTAGCYCTTCCCACATGTAGGTTCTGTCAGATGTTGCTTTCCTATCTGGATTTAGCCTTTGAGTGGAAGTGCTTGTCTCAGATAGAGGTTTACATGCCAGTGAGGTCTACAGTGGTTTCCAAAATGAGAAAACAATGTCTGCCAAAAAAACGCTAAAAAGGCAGACACCAAGGAAAAATATAATCCACAGGCAAATGCATTCAGCAAAGGCAGACAAGTACTAGTGACCTGTTTGCTCTTAAGGGGAACCTTGGTCCTTCCCCAGCATTCACAAAGCACTGCAACCTGCCCTCACCACTGAATAAAACAGTGAAACTCTGACAATTTGCTATGGAAGACATTCACCACCATTTTGTACAGGGCAATTTAAGCACAAGACTGTGCATGGCAGGATCTGAGCAGTTTGGTGTCTTCCTGTTTCCATCTTCTTTAGGTAACCATAAATGCTTGCAAYGCAGATGCTTGGCAGTTAAATGAGKGTGTAGGCAYGCATGCTACAGCTGAACATTGTGTCATGTTATTGTCCTTTTTATCATACTCAGGACCCGACCAAACTTTGCAAAGGCCTAAAGAATACATGGACCTTGTCTAATCTGCCGAGTGAAGAAAAAGCTTTGACAGTGAGAAGGTAGACACTGTTCAGGCTGTGAATTCAAATGAACTGTAAGATAAAAATATCAAAGAACAAAAGAATTCTTGTCACAATGATGCCCCCTAGGGAATCAAGAATTTCTCTGCTTGACTTCTTTTGTAGAATCATAAAACACCTTGGCAGGCTAAGAAGTTGCCCCCTCACCTTGTGGCAGGCTCAGCTTCACCTCTGCCACTACCAACATTCCCTAAAGACCTCCACAGCCTTCATAAGCAGTATATTCTGCAGCTTTCTCACAAGTTAAATCTATGCGTCTTGCTGATACTGACCTCCTATCAGTCAGGTTTTCCTTCTYTTTGTCCCTCAGAATATATTATCTRTCACCTGATGCTTTGTTTATTTATCAGATATTTTGTTATTTCATTTCTGCAGAGGTGACGTTAACATCTTTGCATCAGAATACTGTACAGAAATTTCCTCTCTTTATGTGTTTTTTAATGGGTCCTTTGGCAAACCTTATTTTCAAACTGGATGGAGCTGCAGCCAAGTAAAACAGAATTACAGATTTTTTTTTCTCTCTTGGAGATTGACAGATCATGCTGTATTTGTCTGGAATAGAGTTAAATTTTTCACTGTAGCTAGTGTGGGGTTATGTATTTGGTTTGTCCAGAAAACAGTGTWAATAACACAAGGGTATTTTCATCAGTGCTGAGCAGGGCTTGTGCAGCATCAAGRCCTTTTCTGCTTCTTCCTCCACCTCAGCATGGAGGAGGCTGAGGGTACACAGTGAGTTTGGAGGAGACATCTGATCCCAAGTGTCCAAAAGGACATTACACAGTATATGGCCTCATGCCTAGCACATGAAGTGAGGGAAGAAGGAAGGGGTGAAAGTTTGGAATAAAGGCATTCGTGTTCCCAAGTTACCGTTACACATGATGGACCTCTGCTTTTCTGGGTGTGGCTGAACACCTGCCTGCCCTTGGGAAGCAGTGAATGAATTCCCTGTTTTGCTTTGCTTGTGCATGGGCCTTTTGCTTTACCTATCAATCTTCCTTTATCTCAAGGTTTTTTCCCCTTCTACTCTTCCAATTTTCTTCTCTGGCCCACCAGGTGGGAGTGAGCCAGCAGCTACATGGGACTTAGCTGCCAGCTGGTGTTAAATAATGACACAGATGCTCCTCACTCAGGASCTCCAAGCATGAAAGTGTTACTTATCAAAAATAAAAAAACCTCAGTTTAATAATGTTCAGACTTATGTCAATTGATTTACCATTTGGAAAGTAAGGGAGAAAGCCAGGGCTGGGACCACCCCTCAAGCCAGAGGACAAACCAATGTTTACCAAAAATGTCTTCTGCAAAATGTTATATGCATTTCACATGAAAAGTGAGCAAAAAGCAAGAAGAGCCAAATCATGTATTTGGGTTGCTCTAACCATACATGGGAATCACCAAGAGTTACATACCCTTGCTCTAAAGCTTGTCACTTCATGTGGTAAAGGATGCTCCACCTGTTTTTTTGCTTTTCATAAAGTGGCACTCAATATAATTTATACTTCTTCATAATTGCTTTCCAGAACAGAAACTGCATCTTTTACTAAGCCCAGGGACTTTTCTGTGTAGTGAAGTGGATAACTATAGCTGGACTTCTCTTTATTATCATACATTGCCCTTAGAATGTGCCCTGCCTCTTCAGCAATGCCTGGGGGGATTGCAGCCCAMTGGTCTCTACTGAGCTGCTACGAGGGACTGCCATGTCTGACTGCAGCTTCCCAACAGGAACARGGGCTAACCATGAACATGAGGTGAAGGGACACTGGTGGAACCAGCAACCCTGGCACAAAAACTGGCTTTCTGCACCAGGCACTTAAATTCACGCAGGCACTCAGATGTCTGTGGAGAGTCAGCACATTCATTATTTTTTTATGKTTTTTTTTCTATATGAAGTCATGCAAAACCACAATGCAGGAATCAATTAAACCACTTTCTCTTTCCACTAATAGCTTGCATTGACCAAATGCAGCTTTACCTGAGGCTATAAAGTACCTTCCCRTCTGGCTGGACCCGCAGCATGACGTTGTCTGTGGTGGTGTCATGGATGAAGGAACGCTTGGAGTGGACGAAGAACATGTCGGGGACCCAGATCTTTTTCACCAGTCTGCCATCAAAGGTCATGCTTTGGTTGTTGGTGCTGGGGAAGGACAGCCTCTCATCTTTCCAGTAGTGCCTCAAATAAAGCGTCATGGTGAAGTCCTGCAACAAACAGGCTTCTGTCACAACTTAGACCTCAMCAGCACAGTAGTGATTGCTCCTCTCTCACACTAACCAGGAACTGTAAAGCACCTCTCCTGAGGGCACATCCACTCCCCAAGCTGCAAGGAGCATCACCAGCTGAAGCTATATTATTCATCAGGTCAGACAGATTTACTGGGTTCAGACATATCTAACTTCTCAAGCTTAAACTTAGTGCAGAATGAATAACTCTGTCACTGATGTCTCTTCATTTCAAAAGCATGCAATGATCTTGCTAAGCACCATGTTCATTTTTCTGTAAAGCTGCACCAGTTASAAAGAATTGATTCTGAAAACAGAAAGTTTTCTCCTTTATCATTTTTCTAACAGCCAACTTTGACCCTTTTTWTTTTTTTAACCCAAGGCCATCTAGTGGTTTTCCCATGTTGCTGAGTATTGCAACATGACATTAGAGAAGGAACAGAGGCAGTATTCAAAAGCCATGGGAACTAATTCAAAATCGTGATGTTTGCTTAAAGAAAACAAAGAATGGGTTTGTTATTTGGGTTTTGTTTGGTTTGTGGTTTGTTTTGGAAGTTTGTTTTGTTTCTTTAACTTCCAAATCCTCAATGTTAGCTCTTCCAGTTTGCTTTCAAATCCCAAAGCTTTTTAGGGGCCCTCTGGTCACCTTCACAAGCTTTCTCCTCAACCAAAAGGGCTGGACCCATGCCGGGAGAGGTTAAAGCTCTACCCATGGCTAGTGTCAAGGTACCAAAAGCACCAGAGTCAGGGAGCCAGCTGGAGGGGTCCCCAGTACTGGGGAGAATGCTCACCCCTGAGGCTGGATGATATTCCAGTCAGATATTCCAGCCCACTCAAGAGCTGAAACAGCTGCAGTGAGAGGAGTCTGAYATGCCACCAGTGGGTCTGCCAAAKGCCACACAGCCCTTTTCCTGGCTCAGGCATGGGAGGAGGTCCAGTGCAGGCTCTGCAACCCTCTGTCTGTTAATTAGGAGCACAGAGAATCTGGGGATTCCCATGAAACCTTCAGAGCTATTTGATATTTTTATTGAAAGGTCAAAACATTTTAAAATATATTCTGTGTTGGGGAGTGATTTTTTTTCTCTTCCAAAGCAAAACCTGAGTTATTGAGGGACACTGGGGGTCACAGAACCACAGAATAGTTTGCATTAGAAAAGTACCCTCATAAAGACCATCTTGTTCCAACCCCCCTGCCATAGGCAGACACATCTYCCACTAGACCAAGCTGCTCAAAGACCTCTCCAGCCTGACCTTGAGTGGGATGGGCATCTCCTGCTCCTCTGGGCAGTCTGTCCCTCTGGGCTCTCATGACAGTGCCTCACCATGCTCTGAGCAAAGAATTTATTCCTTACATCTGATCAAAACCTATCCTCTTTAGTTTAAAGCCATTCCTGCTTTTCCTTTGGAGCTCTCAGGCCACTGATCCCCTCAGAACACACCCAAAGTGACACTATGCCTGCAATACCTAAGTGCCTTAAAACTAATACAATAATTGATCTTCTCAGACCTTTTAAGTGTGTTATCACTATTTAAGAAAATATACAGTTTTGAATCAGTCTTTTGAAACAGTTTTAGGACTGTTTTATCATTTTGTCCTATAGAAAAGAAAATGTTAGATTTCTTCCTTCTGCTTCAAGGGACATGAAATGGTAGCACGAGGTCAATAGAAGCTATTATTGGCAGATTCAGAATCTGCCTCTGGAGTCTTTTGTTCTTGGCAGGACAACCCAGGTAACCTGCAGAGTTTTTATCACCAGAGGTTCCACCTGTGGCTCTTACCATGTCCACCTCAGAAATGCTGTCYAGACTTTCAACTTGGACATCCACCCCCACAGGAATTGCAGGGCCTGGGGAAAAAAAAAAGAGTTGAGAAACCTGGTGAGACAAAGTAATCTACTGGCTTTACTATCTTACAGATAGAAATAGATGYTCAGTCTGAAATAGAAAGAGCAGCAAACCAATAGAAAGTATAAATGATTGGAATTCACAACAAAAAGCTCCAAATTACAATTAAAGTCAGTAATAAGACTRACCTACTAATAAGGCACTCTTTATTCTATCATTCTATATGTGTCTCTTCATAATTTAAAAGCAACTTTAATTGTTTTTAGCTCTAGKGCTTGGGTCCAGGACTGGTGAGAGAAATGCCTGGCAGAAAACCCACTCAGAGGTACAGCAGTGGTGGCAGAACTAAGGGAATGTGGGAGGGTTAATCCAAATTTTTTTCCCTCGCTTTTGCTCCCCTCGAAGGCTAACAACATCCATGAGAGCTACTCTGTGTATTTGACTTCCACAAGACTCAGTGCTCAGCTGTGGAAAAGAAAGGGTGACACRAGGGGATATACTGCTGGACACAGGCATGTGCCACTGAGCTTGAGGCTCCTGAGGGGAAGGATCCAACTGTGACCCCATGTAATAGGGATTCTGAACTTTTTTCCCTCCTCCAGGCTTTGACTAGTCCCCCATATAYCTCTGGCAATTACAGTCCAGGAGAGCTGTCAAGTAAAATAATGCTCACATTAGTGAACTGCTATGAAACTGAAATGTTTTTAAATTAATTGAACATGCTGGTATTTGCTATATTGAGCATTTAGCGATAAAATCTTCTTTCATCAGAGTATATAATGGTATCCTGGATTTGAATGACCATCTGTCAGCCAGAAAGGGTAGATAAATTACAACATTCTCTAATCCGATGGGCTGAAAGAAAAAGTGTTCTTCATCCATTTCCCTGAAAGCTTAGGTTGCTCTAGCACAGAGCCACAAAACTGTGAACAAGCATTAACACAGACAGTCCAAATATTTTCTTTTGGGTAGTAAATGAAGTAAGTGTAGTACATCATTTGATTATGGACACACATGGCCATAGTAAGACAAAAATGTTAGAATTTCCTCCATCATCCAGGAATAAACCTAAGATGTACTTGCAGATTGTTATCAGAGAAAAGCGTCACTGAACACCAGGAATATTTTATTGCCTGTTAATCACATTTCCATGCCTTTGACTACACTTTTTGCTCATCCAGAAGGCTATCTCACTGCACCTCTATTCCCATGAGTATGTCATGAATTCACAACTCAAAATAACAGAAATTAGAGACAGAAAGGCCAGTTTGCTTCTTCTTGCTGCAGTTCATGTTACAGTATAAAGAAGTGACAGTGTAAAACAGAAACAGTGACAAATGTGCATGTTTCATACCTCCAAAACCTGGTCTCATGCTGAAGTCATGGTCATCTATTCGCAGCAGCTGCTCTGACTTTGTCAGGGGAGATTTGGTGATGTCAGGGCTTCGTTTTAAGATTGGGCTGCCAGGAGGAGAGAAGAATAGCTATGAGCAGCGCCGGCGAGAAGTACGCGCTCGTTTCACCCCATTTCCTGCTCAGAACATCCACCCTTAGTCTGTGACCCTGTGATTGTTGCACGGGTTGACAGCACATCATTAAAAACTGATTCCTGCACTCAGCACACAGCTTAGGCACCAGTGGTAATTCTGGCACTGTGAAAATACTTATTTGGTGTCTTTGTGTCCCTGCAAAACTCTCTCTGCATACAGCAGTTAGGGGACAGTCAYTAAAAAGTGTGGGCTGCAGGAATAGTATGTGTGGAAAAGTGGAGAGGGGGAGGCATGCCTGACATTATGATGGAGTGTGAGGCCAGGAATTAGGGAAACAATAAATCAAATAAGCTACTGGCTGTTGCCCAGGAACAAAATGGAGACAGTCTGGGAACCAGGCCAGGAGGCAGGCCACCCCCTAACTTGGGATAAAATTATTAGCTTCTGYCCCAGATTTCCATCAAGGATAAAAAGGAGCATTACAGAGCTGGGAGGTCTCTGAGCATTAAAGAGCCTGGGAGGGTAATTCCAGAAGCTGTTTTTGTTGCACCAAGTGCTGGACAGAGGAGGCTCTGATCCCCTTCCACATCCAAAATGCMAAGTGCTTCAGTGCCCCAGTGCTTTGGCTGGGATGGTGGTGGCAGCAGCATCCTGACTGCTCCCTTGTGTAAGCAAAGCCTTTGCTGCCCTCAGAGCCAGCTGCTTGCCAGCTACTTGGGTGTTAGGAGTGCTCAAAAAAAAGGAGGAAAGGTTTTGCTGGGTCTCGATTTTAGAAAAGGTGGCATACTCAGAGAGGCACTTGTCTGAATATACACAAGACAAGTGAGAAATAGATTACAGGAAAACAGGCTGTCAAAGGAACTTGATGAGGAGTATGTTCCTGAGATAAAGTTTCTCCTGAATGAGACTGCTTAGCCACGCTGTGCTTCTCACAGACTCGTGGAGAGCTGTGYCACAAGAAACCAACATAACAATCTCCTAACAGAGGCCAGTGGTTTTACCAGCGACTCCTCTCTCAAATCCAGAGCTGTAATCTGGACTATAAAGTATGTCAGAAAGATGCTTAGTCTGAGCTCAATGTTTTCTAGGAGGGGTGAGTTGTCTGCTTCCATCAGTGAGTTCTGCTCATGAATTATCCCTCAAACATTTTAAAAGGTAACCCCTGCTTCTGCTTTAGGCTTAACTCAGCCTCYGCAAGGCCTGTGAGAGTACAGTAGGGAAGGTCTATGCCTGTCCAAGACAGAGGAGCAATATTAGCAGGCTGCTGGCAAAGCCAACATTTGTGAGCAGGTTTGGCTGTGCTCAGACATGTGCTTTCTCCCTGGCAGTGGCAGTGGGAAGGATAGTGGCTTGATGGCGAGCCCATGGAGAAGGGATTCTTGGAGTGAAGGTGCCCACTCCCACAACACAGACAACACAAACTGCGCATCGGCACCACATGGAACCCGTGAGGGTGCAGCAAATGTCCACGGCAGCACACCTCACCCCCATGAGGGTGGCAGGCACCGCGGCTCCCTCCGGGGCCTGTTTGATCCGTGACTACAGACAGCTGGCTTGTCCAAGCGGTGCTCCCTTCCCCTGCCCCAGCCGAGGGATGCATTGGCCTCCCGCCGGTCCCGCTTACCTGCCCTGCTTGTGCACCTCGCCGTGCGCTTCCCGCCTCTGCCGCTGCGGCCGGCTGTGAGGGACAACGGCAAAAGGGACAGTGAGACAGGCGGACACGGGCAGGGGGTGAGCATGTCAGCAGGAAAGCAGCGGATCCCTGCAGCATTACCTTCTGTCACATGTGAGAAACGGTGCTTACGGGTTTTTTTTAACCCTTTCACCAAAGGCCGGTGTCAGGCTGGGCGCGGCGGAGAGGGGGGAGGGTGAGGAWGCTTGGGCTCACAGCAAGAACAGAGGGAAAGGAGGGGAATGGTTTTTGTAAGGTGGAATGCCCTCGTTTTTGACTGTCTGGCAAAGTACCCAGGCAGGCAGCTCGCCTCCCACCTGCCCAGCTTTGGCTGGCAAAACCARGGGCTTTGGAGGCAGGACAAACTGCCCAGGGGCCTCTGCCGGYGGGGGCACAGCCATTGCACCCACAGACCAAAACCAGCCAGGTGTGGTCATRAGAAGAAAATACTTGCAAATTATTTCGGGAAAAAAAGCAAACCAAAAAAACTGTGAAAATTGTTTCTGGCTTCATACTATCTCACAGCTGTCTGTCAGGAAGGGTCATCTCAGGTCTTTGGCTAATATTTTATTTAATCATTAAAGGAAAGAAWATTGCTTTTTGTAATGTAAGTGCTAGCTTGAGTAAAAGTAATGTTTTAAACATTCAGCCATTCTAAGTCATCTTTAACTAAAAGTTAAAAAAGTAGCTTCTCTCTGTAATAAACACGAACTCTAAGCAACTCTACTAATGAGGCTTTTTGTCCATTAGCATATATTTCAAACACTTCTGTAGAGATTTACAGTGGCAAAACTTTTGCAGTAGYGGTTGTCACCAATAGGGCACCATCATCCCTTTGGTGTGCAGTGGAGGAACCCCAGGCCTTGTTGGACAGTTCCTTTCTGGGCTGGGAGCACTCAAAAAAAACAGTAGTATTGGAGAGAAATTAATCGTGCTGCTGCCACAGAGAAACAGACAACCAGGCCAGGAGTGAGCGTGTGGGGCTGTGGCATTGACACCCTAAAGTGAAGCASTGGATGAGTAGGATTGGGTTTTTTTTCCAGAATTTGCTCTGTGCTTCCCAGAGGAAGGCTGGGAATAAGCTCACAGGCACTACCCCCACTGTTTGGGAGAGCCTTTGGGCCGTGCAGCACCACTGCCATTCCAAGAAGCAGCCTCTTTGGCACTGCTTGGACCTGGCCATCACACAGCAAAACACTTGAAAATGCAAGATGCACTTTCTGGAGCCTTCTGTCTTGTGATCCACCCTTGCTGATATGTCTCACTGCTGCCTGCTCCTCATCTGCTGGCTGTCAGGAAGTAATTTCTCGTGTTTTGGGGATAAGCAGATTCTGGCAACAAGCTGACCGATTCACATGACTTTAAAGTGCCCTAGTAAACTCTTGGCTGTTCAGGAATAATGCTGGTATTCAAACAGGAATGAAGCAGGCTATGTTCTTGAAATTTCTAATTTTTATTTCCTTTGTAGAGCTTATCTAATGCTTCATGGTGGCTCTGGCCCTATTCTGCTTGTCGAGGGAGACTTCAAGGCATGGCCATCAATGAATTGTGGCCAAATCATCCCCATCCTCTGCACTCAGCAACCCTGGGTGCTTCCTTTTATTTCCTCCAGATGTTTCTCCATCTCCTCTAACAAGAGCTGCATTTCCTTGTCACAGACAAGCCTGAAATGTCCCCCATGCTCCATCCACTGCAGGGCACTTTGTTCATTTGAGCTTTGGCTCATGTGTTTCRCTTCTTTTTGCCAGTCATATTCCCCTTGTCACAGCTTTGTGGCAGCAAAACATTTTTTCCTGTTACCCAGTTACTGCAATTTGAAGCCCCATTTCTTTCTACTCAATAAATAGCTTTTCTGCCCTAGTTCCTGGGGACTCCTCTGCTGTCTCAGTAATCAATGGCAGCTCCATCATGGGACCCCATTACCCTGCCTGTCTGGGCTGTGAATCGATGGAAAGCTGCCGTGGCTTCCCCTTGTATGTCTGCTGTCCCTGTGTGTTTGAGGTCGACAGCCACACCCAGGAGATTCAGCCCAGACATTGCTCACAGATTGCTCAGCACAACTGTGAGCTGTGAGTGTCACTCATGCTTTCACTGGGCTGACAGGCTGTCTTTAAAACTCAGCAATCATTCCTGAGGTAAAATACACTGAATAATGAACAATCTTTCTTCCTCCCCACCACCAATGCCAATATTTATCTCCTAGCAGTTACAATGCCAAAAGGCMTTTCATGTCTCATGAAGCTCACAGAGATGCTTTGTGAAAATGCAACAACTGGAGCACAGTGACATTTATTYGCAGAGTGTGTGCATTGCTAGAGTAGCTCTTGGGCCCCTGATGGAGCTGGGATGATGCAAGCTCCTCAAAGYGATTGTTGCCCCATACCTACCCACTACTTCAAGGGACCTTGAGATGTCTCTGCCTCAAAGTGTGAGGCTTGCTGGGGCTGGGAGCCAATGAGGTGGCTAAAGCTTAGGATAGCTAATGACAAAAATCAGCCAAGCCAGATTTTGATCACTACTGCCACAGACACAAAGCAAAAAGCAGATTTCTTGTATTTCTTGTCTTTTTGTATTTCTTGTCTTCTTGTATTTTAAAGCATTTTATTTCCTATGGCTCTTATTGTCACTCCAACACAGCAAAAGGGGTTGCAGGGTTAGGGTTAATAATGTCTGATTTTCAGAAGAAACAGTACAGCCATGACATCTGAATGTCCCAGCAGGCATTTCCAAATGCCCAGCTTCACAGGATGTGTGCCAGAGGGATGTCTGGTCCACACTKGCAGTGTGCACCAGAAACCCCACAGTATTCTTCATCTTTGAAATAAGAGCTTTTGGAAAACCAAAACAACTGTGTTGTTTGTAATTAYTGGGTTGTTTGTAATTATATTTTGGTTTGTAATTACTTGTGTAACATGCATTTCCTCCCTATAAATCATTCTCTCTTTTCTCTATGGAAGGCAATGCACCAGTAGTAGACAGGGACCTATTTTACACTCTTAGTAGGATAATTTAATTATGACTTGAGAACATTTCTTCCTTGAGGAGTAAAATCAAGATACAGTTTCAGTTCTTCAGGAAAAAACAAGAGCCAAYATATTTTCCTCAAGAGAAAAATGAAAGTTGCTGAAATATTGCAGCCAGATTCACGCAGCCTTTCCTGAGTCCAAGAGGTGAYATCCTTGAGGAACAGTGCTGGTGAGTTTGGCAGACTGCTGTAATGCTAATGTTATTATTAGCAGATTTCATTAAATTCTGGGACAGTCTGTTCTCTCCATCYCATTTGGTGTTCGTAGGTCTGCACAGAAGACAGCAGATCAGAGAAGAGATGTCAGAATAGATTATGATTCAGGAAATATTGCTGATATATGGCTGCAGCAAAACCTTTTGGTTTATTTTGTTTATTTGTCCCATCAGTCATATTTTGTTTATTTTGTCCCCTCAGTCATTTTGTTTATTTGTCCCATCAGCCATATTTTAGCAGGGGGATGGATGTAGCTGCAACTCACCCCAAACGTCCCACACTGAGCAGAGGTTCCTGCCAACTCAGGAGGCCTGGCAGGCAGCAGKTGGGGCTGAGACACCCAGGGGGCCCTTTTCCTTTCTGCTTATCTCATGCTTGGGAGCTGTCTCCACCCCTTCTCTGGTGCAGAGATTGTGAAACCCCCATCACCACCCTCTGAGACCACGACATGCTTAATTTTGTCAGATATGAGCTCTGCTGCTTATGATGTGCCGCACTGAAGCCGATCCACCGCCTCCCTTACCACTGATGCAAGGCAATGGGGGATGTAGAWCTTGCTGAGCCAGCTTTCAGCAGGACTTTTAACTGGAAAGTAAAGAAAGGGATGAAAGTCCCTCCTCCCTGCCAGCCATGTCATGGCACTCAGCTCTGGGTTCTCCATCCCTGGGTGAGCACGGGAGAAAGCGGAGGCAGCACAAGTCCTTGCAGGGAAAAAAGTGTTAGCAGGATGGACATGATATTGTCAAAGTTATATTGGTACTATGGAGATCTGTCAGAAGTGTAAGTCTTGTCAAATATCTATTAGATGCCTACGTATTTGATTATGCTTTGTTTGTCCCTCTGTTTTATGACCAGTTAGTGACCGGGGTTCATACCATATCAGCATCTTGTTAAAGACCAAAATCAGGCAGGGGAATGCTGAGTTAGGAAAAGGAAGAAAGGCAAAAAGGAATCRGGGATTGCATGCACAGACATAGAGAAAGTTTCTGCAGAGAAAAAGTAGAGCAGAGACAAAGGGAGCTGGGATCTGCAACAGAGCCTATGCATTGGGTGAGACTGAGGAGAAAAGAGGCTGGAAAGGCAGACGTGAACAAGGAAGGGAAATAATGGGTAGTGCTAGAAGGGAAGATATGAGAAGGAGCAGACAGCAGAGGAGACAYCAGAATCAAACACTGCCTCATTGTTTTATGAGATGATGCCTGGGGCACAGACAGCCTGGACAGTCCTGCATGAACAGTGGCATCMCATCATCACAGAGTGGTGCTGGGCAGAGATACTATTCAGCTCCTGGAGACATACGAGCCTTGCTGGGCTAAAGAACTTCCCAGCCTATGTCTCAAAGAAGGAAAGAGGGTCTGGAGCAGTGAGTTCATAGAAAGTTCCTCTRTAACATGCCTTGGATTTGAAAATGAACTGGGAAGACCTTCTCAAGCAGGAGATGCTGGTGGATAGGTGGTGCAGCAGGTCCAGGTGAAGACTGAGAAGTAGCCCAGAGCCCAGAGAAGAGCTTTGCAAGGGGATGAAAAGTGAGGTAGCTGAATGGGAAGWAAAGCACCAGAGGGAGGAAAGAGCAAATGTGAAATGGGAGGAAGCTGCTCTAACCTGGYGACATGCACTTCACCAGACATGATCCACTGTGTCACACATTAATTCCCAGGGATAATGTGGGATAGAAACCCACTGATTTGCACTCAAATTGAGAGACTTGCAAAGGTGTGTGCTGTAAACAAGACTCCAAGAACTGAGGAAAATTTATCATGAAATGTATTTTCTTTGTCAAGCTCTTGTTTGTAATTGTGTTGGGCCACATGTCCTTATGATTAGTAAGTTTAAAGATGGTGAAGAAAAGTGATGCACTGCTGTTAGAAGTTGTTAAATGTTGAACAGGAAATTTGTGTTCCTGTTTATGAAAAGGAATGGGAAAATAGCACTATTTTTGATGTTCACATCACAAGGTCTGAGAAACAGTGGGGTTCAGAGCTCTTCTACCATCTTTTCAAGTAATACAGAAAATTTGTTGAGAATCCCATTTTAATCCATTATTACCTTGAATACAGGTCAGTCTTTATAATCTCATTATTCAGCCATATGAAAAAGAGAAACAGATGAAAGGAAGGGAAGAACTAATGGGGCAATGCAGAACATGCTGAAAGGTTTTAT